CAGTTTTTCGGAAAACATCACATGCCAGTGTATAGGTCTTGTTGTACAAAACCAGACTCTTATAACAGGGGAAGGAAGAGGCCTACATCTATATATTGCTTCCACTTTGGTCATACATTTTTGGTTTTGTTTGATTGTAATTTTGTTTTTATGACATTTTAAATGCTTATTATTATTGTTAGCCATCTTGAATGCTTGAGAAAGAAAGGCCTGGATATATATACTAATTCTAGAATTCTATTACTAGAAGCTATTAATAGAATCTGAAGGTTCTGAAAGTTCTGAAGGTTGCACCTGGTCATGTGACTGCATTTTGGGAAATTGGCAATCGGGCCAGATTTACAGCCAAGCAGCATCCCATGGTCACATGACTGTGTTTTACAAAGGTTTTGCCCAAACAACGGCATTTATTTCTGGGTTTTGGCAAAAACATGCCCAGAGCAAACCGTTGGTTCCCTTAAGGACTATGACGTTCACTGAATGACTACTGCAAAAAAGATTCTCCTGAATAGATATAGCCAAATGATGAAGATTATTAAAACCTCCATTAACTATTAAACTTCCCATGATATTCCCTCTTTAAGCATTTTTTTTTTAAAAAAAAATAAGGGTTATTTAATACTTTATTGAAATTGAAGCTTCATTTAACACCCAGAAAGTAATTTTAAAAATATGGCAAGTGTTTTACAAGTGTTTAAAAATAAACAGATTCTTCTAAGAGGGAGTTTCAACCTAATTTTACAGACAGGATTCTAAACTGAAAGAGGGAATGGCTTGTCCAGGGCTTTCCAGAGATGTTATGGATCTCAAGAACGGATTGGCTGGACCATACTGACAATTGCAAAATATTCTGCTTTCACAAGCTTCAGTGGAACAGTAAGGGTGAAAGGTTGACAATTCTCCCTATGGTCTTCTTCCTCAAATTTGGTATTTCCAACTATCCTACTTTTGGAGGTGGCTCTTTGCCCATCTGATCTTTGAAGTGTGGAAAAAAGATGGCTATCAGCTCCAGCACCACTTTGATTTCAGATTTACGCTCTGGTCCCTCAATAAATCAGCCACAGTGCTTTAGTCCCTCAGACAGATATAATGTGTGAGCCACAAAAGGGGAAAGTAGAAACTGTTTATTTCCATCATAAAGATGCCTTTTAATATTTCAACATAAATCAAGCTGTGGTTTATGATTATAATAAATTTACCAGGAAGAAAACCAACAGCACTTCATTTGTTGCCCAAGACTGTGGAATGATTTGATTTGCTCCGTTTTTCAGTTCGAGAAAATGTAATTGAGATGGGTGAGGTACAGCTGTTTTAATTGAGTTTTCAGAGAGTACCTACTGCTGCTGGAAGCAGGAGGCTAATACAGAACAAGAAGGCACACACACACACACACACACATCTACGAGCTGCTGCCCTTCTTTACTTCCGCCAATAGAAACCAATTCTAGATTTCCTCTAACCCCTGGAGGAAAAGGCCAGACACCATAGATGCATAACGTTTCCGGGGGGGGGGAATCACCCATAGGGACAAATCAAGGACACAGAGCAGCAAAGAGCCATAGGGGAGAACTTTTGCACTAGGATAATCAATTAAAAGTATCTCCCACGTTAAAACAAGTGGAGAAGATCTCAGCTGCTCATATTCACCCAAGATATGCACTGGATTTCCCTTTCCTGTTCCCTGCAGTCCTTGATTATGGGGTCAATGAAGAATACGCAAGAACAGAAACAATCCTATTTCACATTTCTAGCTCTTCTTTTGAAAGTTTTTAATGTAAGTTACAACTATTACGGGAATTGGATCGCCCTGCCACTTGCTTATTGTTGACATTGCTCCAGCTCCAAGGAGGAACCCTCCAAACTGAGGGACTAATGGAAGGCACTATTATTATTAGGCCCATGGAAAAGTCTGGTTCCTATTCATGTGGAAAGCAAAGCCACATCTATCTAGAGCAGGGGTGGCAGGAGAATTCTGGGAATTGATATCCAAAGATCTTAAAATTACCAAAGTTGGGTAGCCCTGATCTGAGAGTTGTTCTGAAATCAGGAAACAACTTCTACAATGTTGTGTTTTACAACCTTCAGAGCAGCATTTGGGGATAGCAAAAGAATGTAATGTTGGCTAAAAGAGTCATTTAACACAACATGGAATTGGGAAGGAGCTGCTGGGGGAAATCCCGCAAAGCATACCAGAGGCAGCAGCTGTGAAGTTACGAATAATAGTGCATTTAAGTAAATGATAGGAAATGGGTGCACTTGAAGCTTGTTGTTTCCTCTTGAGGGAAGTCAGAGCCCTAGAGAAGGAAATATTAAAAAGGCAGAAAAATATATTTTTCCTCAAAAGGATTTTTAAAAGCAGAAGCCAACTCTGCCCCCAAATCTCTCTATCCCAAACAGGAGCCAGCTTTATACAAATGCAAATGTAACCATCAGAAAGTTGGAGCCAGAAAACTCAAGAAGACAAAGAGACCTAAAATCTGCATACCCCACCCAAACTCTAAGAGTCATTAGCCCAGCCCCAGGGAAGCAGGATATGACTTTTGGGACACAATAGGATTAAACCACAGATACCAAGGCCTAGAAAAACACTCGGTCTCGGTTCAAAGTTCATGCCACAGGAACAGGAAACTTTCAAACAAAAGGCTAGAGAGGGTATAAAAACCTACTGCCCGTGTGCTCAGGCCCTTCTTTCCTATGGTCTTTCCTGCAAGAACCATCTTTCTGCCTCTTCAATAAATTGTAACCATCTTCCCAAAGCAGTCGCCATGTTGCTTATTTATTCCCGGCTTGGATGAACCAGGATGAAGACTTTACTTCCAACACTCTTTTCAAGCAGGAAAAATGAGCTTCTGTTTAACAGAAGACCAGTTGCAGGAATTCTGCTTTTGCGGAAATCCAGCCCTACTTGCCTGCTTCTAGAATCGAGCGATGGCAAACCCTGCCTTCAGAGAAGGTTCTTCTGAGCCGAGTGGTAAGGTCAAAAGAAGTGGGGGAAGAAACCCTCTTAAGATTAGGGAGGGATACAGGCATGAAACGAGTAACCCACTATCCAGAAGAAAAAAGAAATACAATATATGGTCAATTCTTTTAGGGGAAATAGGGCACTTTTTATCTTTCAGATCATTCAAGGCCTGAAGATTAAGCAGTAATAGCCAAAATGTGCATTTTCATCATGTACGGGAGATTCCTAAGGTACAGGACATTTTGTTACTAAAATGCTAGCAGTCATCCTATCTTTGCTGGTGTCTTTATTATTCCGAGGAGAGATTGGACCAGCTATCTGACAGCCCTGACATGACTCTCTGTGATCTCTCTTCTGCCGATTAGGAAGGTTTACAGCAATTGCAGGCAAGAATGACAGAAATGAACAATGCTAAATCTATGCGCTTGTTGGGACAGAAAAGTTCCTATTTCAACGGAGGAGTGTGGATATGTTTTTTTAAACAAACTATTTTTGTTCTCCCTGAACCAGGGCAGAAATCTGACTCTTATGGGTTCAGTCATTACGAGCTCCCCGCAACCTGGTGCCCAAAAACCAGACTTATCCACCTGCAAGCTTTGCAGGTTGTGTACGTGATTCTCTGATGCACCAAAAGGGCTGCCAAGAACAGCCTGATATCGAGAGGTTGCTGTCATCAGGTCTTGATGTGCCTGCAGCAAACGTCCCTAGCTGCCAAGCCTAACCTTATGCAATCTAGCAAAGACATCGTCTTCTTTTGGAGACAGCCGAGTTTCACTGAAGAAAAGACACTGTCTGTATTTTTTTTTTTAAGCACAGCCGCTGCCAATCTCTGTAATAAAAGCAATTTGGGCTTTAAAAAAAATCATTCTACTCAACAATTCTTTAAAAAAAAAAGCCTAACACCACTGAATTTATCAACTAACTTTGGTGAACATCAAATTTAATATCACAGGTACAACCAGCCTGGAGAAGAGCAGCATCATCCACCTGTTTGGAAGATGGAATTTAATAACGGAAAAAGCACTTTTCAACACAACGATAGCCAAAGGAAAGAAAAAATAATACTTTCCTTATATGGATAACTTTGTGTTTTATGACCTAAACTCCTCTTGTGACTTTGTATCAACAGCAGTTGAAGAGATATTCCTTCTCAACAAAGCCTTATAGTCCCAACTAGAAGCAACCGAAATCCAGTATTTTGTCCATCATGTATCAAGTCGGATGTAGGAATCTGATTTAAGATCCAAATTCTGTAACGGGTGATGGATGTTGGGAGTTCTCTTTCAAACTCCCACCCCGCCCCCTTTTTTTCAGAAGGTTTAGTTGTCATATAACAGCCTGATTCAAGAGAAAAGGAGAACAGCACTACACCGAGAATACTGCTTCCAGTTCTGGGCATTGTATTTTAGTAATGACTTTCACAAACTGATATTTACTTATTTACTTTTTGATTTACATAGCTCTGCATTCCAAAACAGCAACTAAGATGATAAGGAACCTGGAAGGAAAATGTTATGAGGAGATGGAAGACCTGGAGAAGAGAAGACTGCAGGGAGTTATCTTGAAGTAGCTAAATGACTGTCATGTAGAAGGGGAAATGTTTTCATTTATTTATTAATCAAATGTATATGGCCACCCATTTCACAGGAAGTGACTCTGGGTGATGTACAGCATTGTTCAAAGTTATTTCAGAAGACAGAATGGCAAACAATGGAAGGAATTAATAATGGGTCATCTGAATTTCCTCATAGTAGGAGCTGTTCAACAATGGAACAGCCTCCTTCAAGTGATGACTGACTTCACAAGAGGTGTTTACACAGAGTGTGGACAGCTATAAGTTGCGAAGCTATATAACTGAATCATGCACTGGGATGGCAGTGGACTCAACAATCTCTAAGGCAGTGTTTCTCAACCTTGACAATTTTAAGGCATGTGGACTTCAACTCCCAGAATTCCACAGCCAGCAATGCTGGCTGTGGAATTCTGGGAGTTCAAGTCCACATGCCTTAAAATTGTCAAGGTTGAGAAACACTGCTCTAAGGTCTCCTTCAACCTTTACATTTTATGATGTGATCATCAGTTTAAGGAGAAAGAGAAATGAGATTTCATGGATTGGAGTTCATGATTTAGCGAGAATCAGGACGCATCGTTTGTAATTTTCGGATAGAAGATGGATTGGCTTTCAGAACAAGTCTCCTTCCGCTTTCTATAGTTTTTTCCCCCTATGTTTAGAAAATTCTTTAGATAGATTTAGTCATAACATATTGCATCAAGACTATATCAGCTGCTCTCCACATTTATCAAAGTAGTCTTTTAATAAGTAATCAACATTTTCACACTCATATAGAAAGCACAGGGCTGGGCCTGCCCTGCTGCTGTGACCCTAGCATGATTCTGTTAACGGCATAAAGAGAAAATAAAGCATTATAATGGGAAACATTTCTTATTACTTATTTAAGAGATGGCTTTGTATCAACAGAGTGTATAGTTCATGACAGGACATCCTGCTCAGACCCATATCGTACATAAACAACTGAGGAGGGAAATATCTGAAATAAAGTAACAACAAAGCTTAAAGCTTGGCAAGTTTCAGTCCCCGGGCTGCATTATATGAAACAAGGCAACATTTAAAGGCATTGGAAAGGCTGAAAAACAAATGAGGAAAACAATCAAAGCAGGACGAGGGGAGAAGGGGAAGTGATGGGGCTCCTCTACCCATTCCAAAGGGTTTAGGTTGCTACATACATCATGCAGTATTAACAGTTATGAAACCAAGTTCCATCAGTTGCTTTCATTTTGCTCCTAATAGTCAATGATTTGGCAGAACAGAAAGCCACTTCAGGAAGAATATGAATGATTAGGTAAAGCAGATCTTAGTAAGTAATTGGCTTGACTACTAAAAGTAAAGCCTTTAGTAAAACTGGTCTTTTCCATCACATGAAGGATTAGATGCATAGCCAACAGTCTCTGAAATCTTCTAATAGGAAGGAAAACACCCCACTTAGAAAGCCTGATGTAGGATAGAGTCCAATTGTTTTGTGCATTAAATGGAAAATCAGAACCTGAAAGGTAACTGTCCAAGCAGCAAGGTGCCTCAAATGAGCATCAAGCTCAATGATGTATTAGTATTTTAAAAGTAGTTTAAACTTAAGATAGTTTAAAAATATCCTTATTAGGTGCAACGCCTGGAATAGAAGTCTCAGAGATCCTCTTAACCAGAAATATTGCTCCATCATCAGTTTTTTGTTTCACTCAAAATGATATTTGCAGTCACAAACAAAAAACAAAAAAGCCCCCAGAGCAGCACAAACCCAATCCAGAAGGTGTGCCGGAAAGGGGACAAATGTTTGTTGAGTGCGCTATTTCTAAAGGTCGTTCGCGTTTCTTTCCGACTATAGTATGCTAAAAAAGCAGGAATGATGTACTGGATCCCATTTCCAGCATAGGCGCCAGTAATTCCCACTAAGGATTCCAGATCATGAGTACAGAAAGCCACAACAATTGGAGGAATTAGTGTGATGACTGGGAAAAAAATCCTGTCCACTACCCAAGGGTAGGTTCCCCCTTCCCGGTGGAAGAGAGTTTTCCAATTATTTCTTAGAGTCACAGCAATTATAGGAAAGTTTGTACTGATGGTGAAGACGGGGAAGAGTCCCAGGAAGTAGCGGATAAACGCAATGTTGACAATGTCACAGTTTGTGAAGTTGAGTGTGTACATGTCCATCAGAGTCCCGTTGCGGAAACAATAGATAGCAGTGAAAGACAGAAGGCTGTAGAAACCCAGGATCAAGACGTAATCCAGCAGGACTAGCTTGTTAACATGCTTCTTCTGAGAGATGGGAGTGATGAGGGATGGCAGGGAGTGCTGACACATGAAGGAATAAACACAGACTCCAAAGAGATTTCGTACTCCTGAGAGCTGAGCCAGAGGGGGGTGGCCTTCCCCTTGACCTTTGGAGATGCGGAGCAGGGCCACAATGATCATGATGATGAATGCTGAAACGAAAAGGGGGAGGGGGAAGGGAAGAAGAGAGAAGGAACAGAGTTAAGTCAGAGAAGTAGGCAGGATCCCAACTTTCGTAACTTTTTCCTCTAATCTTTGCCGGATCTTTCCTAGTCTACAGCTGGAAGGACAAGGAAAAAAACACTCATCTGGATAAAACTGCTCCATGAAGTGTTATCAGTACATAAACAGCCCTCCTGATTGTACTGAAGATTGGAAAGGGGTTACATAAGGCTTTGTTTAGGCTCTTCTAAATACCACTCTTTTACCTCAGGAGCACCTGCTTCACATTTGAGTTGTACAAGAATGTACACGTTCCCTTCATTTGAAGGTTTTTGTCTGCATTTGTGTTAATAAAGCTGCATGGAAAAAAAAACTTCTTAGCATAAGCATATACCACTTCGGATGAAAGGTCATTTGAAAAATTTCCTCTGGCAGCACAAGAGTACATGCCTTGTGGTTCTGGGCAGCATTTATTAGATTTTTACAAAACTGACAGGGCAGGAATTCTTGTAAATGGCTTCCATAAAATGTAGATATGTATAAAGAAATCACTGATATTGTTCTGAATCAACAATAGTCAAATTGGCTAACTGCAATCACAACAAACATGGATAACTTATCATTTATTGTGCTTTTTGTTTCCTATTTTTTCCTCTTTCTTTTTTGCTTAAAAATGCATACACCTTAGAAGATACGTGTACCATTGTAGTTTATTATTTCATAATAAAATACTTTACTGTAAGGAACTAGCTTCCCTCACCTCCCACCTGGATTCTTTCAGTACTGATTTTCATCATGTATGCCCAATGTGAGCAGACTTCAGTCTTATAGAATTTACTCCTTTTCTTCATGAGAATTTCAAGACCTACCAATTGTACGGACAATGTGGCTTAGCTCAAAATACCCCAAATAGAATTAAGGAGCAGTGAGCTACTGAATATAGACTTTAGGCTTTGGGATTTGATTTCAATCACGTGTGAGCTTTCACAAAAATCCATTTTCTTTTTTAAAAAAATTACCAAACTGTGAAATATAAATAGGGTTGCTGCTGTTTTGTATCTGTTTTTAATCTTCAGACCACAGGTCCTAAGTTACTTCAAAAGAGCAGAGAACCCAGTAAATAGCTGAAAATATGAAGACTGAAATTAAAGATTGAATTCTATAACTTGTGCAGAAAAAATTAATAAGACTTAACAACACAGAACACAGAAACAAAAAGATTAGCTGGTACAAATTCCTAGCTACCCTTATCAACCTTATCAACCTCTAAAACAAACAAACAAACAAACAAACAAAATACCAGAAGCTTCCTAAAGCAAATATTCTGCCACTTCGATTACTGCTTCAACTTCTGCAGCTTCTTGGAGAGGTTCCTGTGGGCATAAAAACTCTGTTCCTTATCCAACAGCTGTGTTTTAAAAAGACTAAACATTTATCCAACTGAGAAAGCAGTTGGGTATCTGGCACTGAATACTGTATTTGACAAAGGGCAATTTCAGTTGTAGACTGGCTATGCAGACTATATATTCACAATATCCCATTTTGTTTTACTTCTACTATAGCCCAAAAACAGAGTAACAAGGAACAAAAATATGTCTATGCCTGCAAGGGGGAAATGTCCAAATACCAGCTTCTGGATGCTGGTATCACATCAGGAACCACAGAATTGTGTCCTTAATTTGAAAATTACTCTGCAATATTTGTATATCCCATTCTCAATTTATGAATGGGAAAGTCTGCCTGTCCAACCAGATCTGATAGGGTGGGCCCACTTCATGTCCTTTCCCTTAAATGCTCTCACTTCATGGGACTTAGGTTTCGTGGTGTATCTTCCCCACAGCAGCCCCTGTCCTGTGGAACACCCTTCCCCCTGAGATCCATCAGGTTCCTACACTCCTCACATTCTGGAAGTCTAAAAAGCTGGTTCTTGCCAGGAGTGTTGCGGTACTCTGAGGCTAGAGTCCAGTGGACTCTTGACGGTCTGTTTCCTTTGGACAGCCAGGATTCCTTCTCTTTTCTTAACCCAAGTTAGTATCTACTAGCTACGTCTTCCTTTGTTTTAATGCTGTACCAGGCACAAATTGTATTTAGGTTTTTTTGCAGTTACTCCCACAAGGTTTCCATGTTATCCCATAGTCAATGTTCATATCAAATAAATAATGCCTTCCTCCAATAAAGTAATTTTGGTATGCACTGGAAAAAGGTATCTTTCCCAAGTGGTTCAGTGAAATATAGACTAACAAAAGCAAAATTAGAATTCCTCACCCTCATCTTTTCTTACAAACTGCTATAACATCATTTCAATATAGAAGGAAGACTGAATCCTGGTTTTCATTTTCCAAATCCAACTGTCTATACACGGGACCATAAAGTTTTTTTTTTTTAAAAAAAACATATTATGTTAAGATATTCTACATGCAGAAAGCAGCTTTCTGTTTTGGAGATTTTTTTTTTCTTTGTTTAAAAAGCAACCTTAAAGCTCAACCTGTAACAGTTACAAGTCTCTTATTGCTTCTGAAAACAATTATGTACAAAAGCTCTAAATCACCGCAGGAAAGGTACAAAGCTCTTCAAATTATCTAGAACTCTCACAAAGACATAAAATATTATCAGTAAGGCAACAAGAATTGCAAGCTCACACATCCTGACAGGAATAGGAAAAGCAGGCGTAATACCAAATTCAAAGAAACATCAAGTAAGACAAGTTAGTCTTTTCAGAAAATGCAAGTGGAAAATATCTAACTCTCTATTTGGAGAGAAGAATTTGATTTATGGTACATAGTCCCATAAACACTGCTGGAGCTTAATTATATTTAACCATAAGACCTCTGTACCTCTTCTCCTGCTGGAGAGTGAAACAATATATCTCTACCCTTTCTGTTCATTCAAGGTTGAGGATCTGACCTATATCCTCCCAAAGTTCCCTTTATCAAGTACAGACTGTTCATTATTTCCCCTAATAGTAGCACATGAGTATCAGTGGTGTGCCCAGCAAACACTTTTTTCCCAAACCTTTTGGTTTAATGTCACCTGGCAACTTTATATATAGCATTTTCAAGCTCACTTCCAGGAGGCAAGTCACCAATGACTCAGGTCTAGCTTTAACCCACCAGTTTGGGAACAATTCTGATGTTCACTTTGCAACGTTTGAATTTTTTTTTAAAAAAGAGAATGCATTATTTCTGTGCTGGAAGGGCAGGGCCAAGCTTAGAGATCACAGGCAACAGTGAATTGATACTTTACAGAATCTATAGAGTTAGAAGAGGCAATTTACACCATCAAGTCCAAATCTATATAAAGATGTCCCCAGCTGCAGCTATCTCCTGTCCAGTCTCTACTGAACAAATCCAGTGAAGGGGAAACTCACCAATTTTCTGAATAATTGGTTCCACTATCAAAATGCCTTTTCTGTTAGAAAAAAATGTTCATATCATTTACAATACCTGAAATCTACCTTCATATAATTAGACCCATTATTCTGCATCTGCCCCCTAGGATGACAGAGAATATATCTTTTCTACTGCCATGTCTGCCCTACTCAGAGAATATGTCTACTCTACTCTTCTGTAGGCTATAGGGGATTTAAACCAAGACATTTTATATGAAATAATCCAACTCTTAAAAAAAAGCAAACCATTACGAAAGATTATAAATTTTATTGTTTGAATGATATGAATGCATACATAACTTTGCATCTGTGCAGTTAAATGGTTATCTATCTGGTAATTGATTTATGACATTACTATAAGTTCAGATTTTTTAAAAAATAAATAAATTCATCAATAGTTATGCTACAGAAAACTCACACACAAATAGACTTACACAATTATTTTTATATGAGAATTATTTGTAACATCTGACTCCATTTTTGTATAGCACATATGAACAAAATGCAAGCTACATGTAATGAGTCTCAAAACTTTTCAAAACAAGTTATGATTGGTGCTCTCTGAGCTTGGTTATTTTCTTGCAGATGTTTCATTATCCAAAGTAGGTAACATCATCAGTGCTAGCTATTTTTAAAATATGCAAAAAATATCATCAAAATGTCAGCTCTTTTTTTCCTCTAGGAGTGTTCTGGTTTACCTTCTATTTTATAAGTTGTAAACTGAAGGTTTTGCTGGAAATGTTCATTTTTTTCTGATCTACAATTCACAATTGATGCAATTCAAGATATTTAGCAATTATCTTAATAATTTCTTTCCTAGTGAAGGGGATAATGGGAGCATCTCCTTGCACTGCAAAGCTGATTATTCATATGCTAAATTTATCTTTCTATCCTGAAAGGCAGCAAGATGAAGACAATGTTCCAAAACCCAGTTATGGCCAACAATAAATCAAAATCAAGAGTCTAATAACTCTTGATAACAAGTATTAAAGCTAGGATTTGGTGGCATATGGGACATCCCCTGTTCATCTAACTTCAGGTTCCTCAAGTAGGGAGAAAGAATACAAACATCAAATTTTACAAAAGTTACCTATGAAGTTAGTGGGTATTACTAGCTATTCCTCTTCAAATAAAAAATGTTAAAATACTTACCTACATAGATCTTTATTAGAAAATTGATATAATTCTCAGTTTGTCAAAACATAAGCTGCATCTCTAATTAAATGCAGCCCTGAATACGTGAGATTTAAGAAAATAAATAAAATGTTAGATATTTTGAGGTTGTACAACACTGTACTTAATCATTCTACTTCTAGCATGTTACATCTGGAGATAAATTTTATATGGGAACCCTTTCTTTTTGGACATATGACATAAAATAATTATATGTATGTAGAAAGAAATAAACCTCTGAGAAACCCTAAGAAAATAAAAGAAATAAAGGTGAAAAATTAAAAGAAAACAAGCAGGATTAAAAAAATAGCTCTACAAAGTATCATCAAGTAAAAAAAAAAAGCACATATTTTCAAGGAAAGGAAAAACAAATTCTGCTAAGAAAACGTCACTGTCCTGCACAGGTAGATGCTTCTTTTGATGCTTCTC